TCCCGAACTTGCCAACCAAACAACAAAATAAGCGGTACTATAATTTAATCCCGGGACTATTTGGTATTATCCCTCACACCAAACGACCCCTTAGTACCAAGTTAGGAAAGTTATTTTAAGACTCTCACCTTACGTTTTAACTTCATTAGGCTACTAAACTACACGTTAGGCTCTAGCCTAAGTCTTTAGATATACGGGATGTTACATCTATTTTGAGTTATAAATCTTGGGAATATTTTAAAGACAATACTTTAGTTTTAAACTTAGTTTTTGAGGAAAGTTTAAAGAGACATATTAAGTAGAGTTTAAGGGAACTAATTATTCCCAAATGTATCATTTTTACATGGAGAAAAGGGAAACTTTGATTTCTAAATAGAGTTTATGAGTTCAAAGGTATTTCAGAATGGTTACCTCTTTGAATAGGATAGTTTGAGCAATATATCAAACTAGAGAAAGTGTATGTTTTACACATTTAAGCATGAGTATATATTATTGGGAGTAGTATTGATCATCGATATGGGGATGAGTTCAGACAACTCAAAGTCCTCATAAACTATGATTGCTAACATGGGTAAAGGATCATACTTTTGAGATGAATCCTTAGTGCCTTCGGGTAGAGCTTAGTGAATCCACTTAGATGAGGTGTTCTATATTCCATCAAGGTATATGATAGTTCTAGCAGCGTGGGCGAGACAATGTATCATCTCATAGCTCATAGTGATGGTTGTCGCTTATAGAATCTCTCAAATAAGAGTAAAGGGTATTTTTATTATATTTTTATATACATTCTTGAGTTTATATCTTTAATTTATGAAGCTTTAATCATGAAAATCTTTTATTACTGCTTTTGTAATGAGTTGAGTTGAGGTGAGTACTTTTCCAGTATTGTCAGTTCAGTTATCTATATTTTCAGTTCTCCTTGCATACTCGTACATTTAATGTACTGATTTCATTAGACATGTATCCTTTTATGATGTAGATACACGTGTTCAGGATTATCAACAAGTGCTTCATTGGGATCACTTTATACTCTAGTTAGCTTTTGGTGAGCCTCCTTGTATTCTGGAGTACTTCACATTTACTTTTAGTTGAGTAGCTTTGAGATGTCGTGGGTCTTGTCCCAATATTCATATTTAATAGTAGAGGTTTCATAGATAGTTATAGTTGAGGAGTGTTTCAGTATTTAATTTCTTTTGAGCTGTTTTACAAACCATAAGTATTTCTCTTGAGTATTTTTCGGACCTTATGAGTTGAGTAATTGAGTTTAACGAATTTAATGTAGTTTTAACCTTATGTCACAAGAAGTCATAGTATAGTTCAAGTCTCATTCTTTATCTTTCATTTAGGGAAGAATAGCCATAACCGACATAGACCATGTGAGCTACATGAAATCCGGTGCCGTGTAACCCCACACCGAAAAAAGGTGTCCTACTTGCCTAAGGTAGGACTAAATGTATTAGCGCCTACGTGGATCCACTAGCTAATTCCTATGTTGGCACATAGTTATGGGATAGGGAGATTGCTTCTAGAAACCTCCCTATTGCATTGGCGGAGGAGCTTCCATCTCATGAGTTCACTTAGGATGACCCTCACTATTGCATTGACGGGAGAGGCTTTACCTCATTGTCTATATCCACTCGGTGCTAAGAATTATTTCCCAAGTTATACATGATTAAGTCTTGAATTGTATTTACATGTGTGAAGGAGTTCTCTACCCTTCATTCAATACAACTCATAAAATAGCTCATAGAGTTGATGTTTCTAATATCATAATTGTGTCTATAAACTATGCTCATACACTTCAGAGGGATTCACATCAATGCTTAGTTTCTAGAATGAGGGGTAAAGACTTTAGCCCATTGATCTCAATCTTACTCCATAAAGTTATGGATATCAACCGCATAATATGAACCTATTCATATAAGCACTCATGCCTCATAGTATGCTCACTATCGCAAATAAAGCTTTCAACAATACCATAATTTACACATTATTCATATGAAAATTACTTTTTAAGTGAATCAATAGGTTATACGCAACTTCCATCAACATGTAGAAACCCTATCAATTTAACCCTTTCAAGCTGATGAATCATGCCTCACAATTATACCTAAATATACTACAATAGGCATGAACAAAACAAGATTCAATAACTAAATTCA